CGAACCCGCGAGCTCAGGCAATCCACTCACCTCAGCCTCCTAAAGGCGCGGGATTACAGGTTGAGCCACCGAGCCCGGCTTAATATTGGACACTTGGTGGGTGTATGTTGAGATTCCATTTCACCTTTGATGGCTCCCCATTGTCAACCACTGCAGAGTTGTGAAGATTCTCGTGTGTGTGTGTGTGTGTGTGTGTGTGTGTGTGTGTGTGTGTGTGTGTGTGTGTTAGAAAGCTATAGCTTCCCCTTTTTGTTCACCCATGTTTCAACAGAGAGGAAATTCTAAAACCCAGAAATAGGCATGTATCTTCCTTGCATGCATGTTAAAATGGCTCTAGTCGATGAGTGACAAATTGGAGTGTTATGCACAGACCTAGCAGGAACAGAATTTTGGCACAACTCCAAACAACAGCATGGTCCATGAAGACAAGACCTAAGAGATTGAACATCATCAATATCCCAGCTTACCACGGTTCTAGCTCTTGCCACCAAGTTTTCAAAGGAATTTAAAGCAAATTATTAAAGAATGATGAACAGAGGCATCAACCAAATTGAAAACTTTGAAATAACTATGATAAATTTCTGTGAAAAATGTATAAAATGAAATCCTCAAATGTACATAATCACACATGCACTTATAAGCACATACATGACTTAAGGACAATCATTCCACAGAAATGTAAAAGAATCTCAAGAAACTAATTCTTTTGGTAATTATTCTTGAAAATAAATAATAAAAAATATTGCCTATATAGATGTCACAGACATTTGTGCTAATTTAGCATGAGATTCTCAGGCACAGTAATGGTTTTCGGTGTGTGGTATTTATTGCCTGCACACCTTGACTTTATTTGGAAGAGGTAAAGTCATGCCACTGCTATAAATAATGTGGTACAGAAATTTCCAAAAGATTCATGGCCATAGTAAACCAAAAATGGTAATCTCTAATTCTGTATGAGTTTGTTTTTCTTGGTATTTTATAAATGAAAACCTAAAAAACAGTACACCCTAAAATCTTAACAACCGGATCTTCTTACAAGTAGAGTGTTTTAAATTCCAAATCATCCATGTGCACATTCCGTCTGCTTTACTTCCAACTTTGTAAGTATGAAGTCATTCAATGTCCCACCTCCTCTGCTCCAGCAAGCTAGTTCAAGCCCCATCTTCTGTCTGAAGGCAATGACAGTCCCTTCTTGATGCTCCCTTCTACTCTTGTCCCTGACCATTCATTCCTTACACGCAGCCAGAGCTTTGTGTTTTGGAACATAAGTATCATGTACTCCCTAGCTTAAAACTCTCTATTGCCTTCCCTTCACATTTACAAATGAAATCCAAACTCTCTATCTGAAAAAGAAACTCCTATGTGCCCTGGTTCTTGCCTCCCTCTTTAGATCCTTTCCCCATCTGCCACTAAGCCTCAGTGGCCAGTCTCTTCCTGTTCATTGATGAGACCAAGTCTATTCTTGCCAGTTGAAGACTGCATTTGCTGTTCCCTCTTCTGGCATACTCTTCCTACATATCACCATATGGTTGGCTTGTTTTGGTCATTCAGGTCTTAGTTCTAATGTACACTTCCCAGAGAAGATTTCCCTCACTACCTCATCAACGACCCCCAATCATTTTTCAACAAATATTTATGGAGTGCCCAATACAGGCCAGGAAGTCGATTAGGCATTCGAGTTATATCAGTGAGCTAAACAAACTAAAAAGATACTCAGATGTTTATTAAATGGATGAATGAGTTTACAAAGCACGAATAAACTTCAAGAGCAAAGAAACTTTCCTTTGCTTTATGCCAGTAAGTATGACTCTTCTAGAGATATCATCAAGCATTTCTGAAATTCTGAAGATACCTTAATCAATATTGTGATCTATCTGTTCTCCCTGGTAAACAGCATTTAAGAAGTTCTTCCTCAAGGCACTCAACTACAAATTGAGGCTTTGACACTGGTTTCCAAGTTCTCTCAGTATATATAACCTAATGTCTGAACAGTTTCAGAAAACGATCTGATTCCTAAAGAACATCATCAGCCTGTTGGTATGCTAATCCATTACATTAAGACATCTCGGCAAGTCAGGAGAGACCTAAATGAAGTGAGATCACAAAAGTGTCTTCCAAACTCAGCACACTTACTTTGTGGACACCATTTATCTTCTGCCCATCGATTGCAGTTATAATTGTCGCCTGCATTTTCACAGGTAAAGCACTTGAAGCTATTTGGGAATGGTGTAGCTTTAAAGAACAAAAGCAAAGCGAAACAGTACGTTACAAAAGACAAACATGTCAAACATGAAGTATGGCATAGAATTAACAACTTTTAGTAAATGAAACAAAACGGACAAGCCACCATCCTTAGAATTTCTGTTTCTAGGGTGCTGGATTTACCTATCAGGCTTTCAGGCATTTCCTTCATTCCTTTTATTTAAATATTTCTCATATGAATTTCCACTCTAGAGTAGTGAAAATGATCCCACAAGCCACCCTCGAAAGCCATAGTATTTTTCCATTCTCATTTATAACTTGGACATAAGTGGGGATTCAGGGGAAAGGGCAAGGGTGGTAGTGGTATTAGAACCAATACCTTGATCCATGTCATCCCTGAAAAGAACTGGAGTCAGACTAACCTGAGTTTAAATTCTGTCCTTCCCACTAGTTAGTTGTATATTTTTACCTTCTAAGATATAATAATATTTATAATAGCAACAATGAAGAGCCCCGTGGCTTGCAGAGGTGTAGTGAGGTTAAGCGGAAAGTTGCAAGAAAAGAGTCTCAGGCACATCAAGTTACGCTGGTTTCCACCCATAGACACTTTCAGTACATTTAACCTCAAACAAGTAATCTCATTTGATATATGTCACTTATCACATTAGACCTTGACCAGGAATGTAGCATTCAATGTGAGGGGTGATAGTCATTCTTAAGCCCTTATAGTCAGGGCTTGGAAATTAAAAAAAAAAAAATTCTGAGTTGCGTGCAGTCTGGATTGAGAGCAACTAGTATGTTCTTTTTGTCTTTGTTGTGGGGAGGGTGGGGTTTATATCTTGTCATTTTAATGGTCAAAAAGAAAAAAAATAAAACAATTTGACTCTTCTGTGTAGATGAGGGTATAGGGCCCTGGGTAAAATTTTTAGTTCTCCCATTTTTGGAGAATGAAACAGACAAAGATCAAGGCAAACTCCAAATCATCCTTGTAGCATAACCAGAGGCTGGGGTGAAAGTTAGGAAGCAGTGGGTATTTCAGATAAGGGGGGGGGGGTAGTGGAGGATATATATTGCTGCATGAAACAAGAACAAACATCGAAAGCTAAAATTCGGAGGACATGAAGTTAAATATTGTGAATACACTTCAGTTTTGCTTAAGTACAAAAATACATTTGGCAGGTAAATAAATAAATAATGACATCTATTGTCATCTATTAAATCAGTACCTTTTAAAAAAACTGTAACAGTTAATGCTTGTGGGTAAATGGTTAAAATACAAATTGGTACACAGCCTTTTTTTGATTTAGTAATTTTAATTCCAGGAAATCTATTCTAAGGTCATTAGTCAATTGAAGAGAAAAGTGCATTTAAAGGATTTTTAATGAAATATCATTTAACATTTAGCTTATGACCAAGAGTGGTGGTTCACATCTGAAATTCCAGCAATTTGGGAGGCCTAGGCGGGAAAACTGTTTAAACCCAGGAGTTGAATACCAGCCTGGGCAACATAGAAAGACCTCATCTCTACAAAAAAAATCAAAAAATTAGCTAGACATGTTGGTGCGTGCCTGTGGTACCAGCTACTCAATAGGCTGAAGAGGGGACTTGCCTAGGTCCAGGAGGTTAAGGCTGTGATGACCATGATTATGCCACTGCAATCCAGTCTGGGCAACACAGTGAAACCCTCCCCCCAATTCAAAAAACAAACAAAATTTAGCTTGCTTGTGATTTTTTTTTTTCTGACATAAAATATGGGGAAATGGTGAAATAGGCTATAGACCAGCCCTGTGATTTTTCTTTTAATGTAAAAGGCATTAAAACATTTTTGAAGACACGGAAAAATATTCAAAATATAATGTCGAGACAGACAGAGAGAGAGAGAGTGTGTGTGTGTGTGTATGACTGGAATAAAATTTTCCAAAATATAAAGAAAAGCTCTTTTGAATCTTAAGATTATGAATACATTTTACTCTCTTCTATACATTTCCTCTCTCTTTGGAATTTTCTCTAATGAACATGTATTACTCTTTTCTCTTTTTTTGAATGAACTTTTTCTCATCATACATTTCACTAAGCCTAAAAAGTTTGAAATTTGTAGATAATTTAGGGTCAATAAAACTAAGATTATGCCATGCCTTTCAGCTATCAGTATACAGTCATTACCAATTTAGAAATGTGTAATAAATGATAGTTTAAGGTATGTGCAATATATGTATGTTCACATATATATGTGTAGGCTATATATGGATATGACTGAGTGTCCTAAATAATAAAGAAAACATAAAGAAAAGAATAATATGGACCTCATGTAATAGTAGTATAAAAACAGTGGTTTTCATATCCGACTGTACATTAACAGTATCAGGAGAACTTTAAAAAAAAAAAAGGGAGGGGGAAAAATGGAAAAAAAAGTCATCTCTCACCCTCTTCCCCTCTGGAGAAGTGACTTGATATATAGTTTTAAAGTCTTTCATCACAACTTTGACATTTTCAGATGTGAGACCCACAAGCATTCACATGTATACCAAAAATTTTATGTATAAGAAACTCTCTCTGGATAAAGTATATCAGAGTTTTACTTGTCTGAAGAGAAAAAAAGGACAATATATGTATACAAACACAGATTTGCCATATATGTATATAAAATATATTAACATGTATATACTGTGGATAATATATACTAATATTTGCCTGTTTTTAAACTGTTAGTGGAAAAGTTGAGTTTTATGTAACATTTGCTAATGGTAATTATGCATTATAGTAATGAAAATCCAGATAATATTCCTTTTTAAATTTCAAACATGCACATTTGTTTTAAAAATTGTTAATGGTCATTTAAGAAAATTAATATATCATGTATGCAGACACTTCCTACAGTCAATATCCTTCCCCAGCAAAGAGATCAACAAAGAACAATGAATTTCCTCTGCTAAGCCATGATTAGGGACAGTGTTCAAAATATATGCTTTTAAGCAAAAACCCTTTTAAAACTTTAGCAGGAAGCCAAAACACTTTAAAGAAATGGAGAAAATTTCTGTAGATAAGTCTGCTGCTATTCTAACTGGTCTTCCATTGGTATTCTGTGGCCAACTCCCTCAAAAAGAGGAGAAGAATCCACATTATATCATATTTACCTGTTAGAAGGTTACTCTAGGTTATTTCATTGTTACATCTTTTGGGCTTTAGTTATCATTTTTAATTACCTTTTTCACTGGGAAAGGACTTCCTTAACTAAAAGTTAAAATGAGCTTAATTAAGTTAAAGTTTTAATGAAGCTAAAACAAAGCTATTTTTATTTAAGATAATTTTATTTTATGAAACTAAAACAAAGCTAAATAAAGCTTAAAGTTTTACTGAAACTAATTGAACATTTGGGGGATATTTTTCAAAGGCAGGTAAGACCCACTGACAAAGTAAATGAACCTTTTGACCAAGTTTGAATGCCTTTATATAAACTTACTGAAAATGATAATTTTTTACTGGCATTATTGCATTTTCAGTTGAGTATGAATTGCTGAATTTGTATTTGTGTAATTTAAAAGATCTTTGCTAGCTGAGAAGAATTAAATCTGAAGGTAGAAATCTAAAAAAAAGAAAGAAATGGAGAAAATTTCTCTCACTATATCCTTACCCACAGAAGTAATGAACGACTTTCTATTTTATTTTAAGTATGGATCAAATGTTCCCAAAAAAGACCAAGTTACAACAAATGGAAACGAGGGCTTTAAATGGACACTCTGACCCTGCAGCCGTGAACTAGGATGGCAGCCACTACTTACGGTCGAGAGGAGGCCTCACATTATAGAAGTTGATGTTCTTGGCAAATGCCCAATTTTCTGAGAAGATAACGATCTGGACAAGAGCTACAGCTAGAGCGTGACAGAGGAGCAGCATGCTGGCCTTGTGTCTTGGGCGGTCCAAATCTATATCCCTGTGGTGAAAAGACAGACTGGTTCAGTTTCTTTATATTTTACACATCAGTGCAAGTATGTTTTACTTCTGTTTAAAAAGCTCGATTATTCAAATATATCCAACCATCACCTAACTGTCAAGTAGGGCCAGCACCTGTGAGTACAGTGCATGCATTCTTCTCCATCAGATGAAAGGTAAGTAATTACTGCCTTCTACTGGCCAGGCCTCTCTGCACTAGCCAGGTGTGTTTAGCAGAACAACCTTTTGGGTTCAGGAAGAACAAGCACTCAGAACTGGCCTGGCTGTCTCCCAATCCATCGGTGCCTGAGGCTAGATGGTTCACTTCATGTTGAATCACCGGATCTCTTAAATCAACCACGGTTCTGAGGAATGTTTAGTGGGTTACTTGACCACCTATCTGTAGTTCCATTAACTGAGTAAACACGTGTTTGATAAATGTTTGCAACTCTTGCAAAACCTGAAACAATGAAAGTGAAAGCAGTGGGAAGGACAGTGGGGAAAAGGACACATAAGTATGAGAAATAAAAATCTCTACAGATCCCAGAGCACACAGACACTAAGAAGAGAAACAAGTCACTGTGAAATGCCAGTCCCACTTATTTCTGTCACACTGGGTGCAAAGATAAGCTGCCAGAAGGCTCTAGAGGAAGCAGAATAAAAGTTGTTAGAAAAGCTGAAAGTATATAATGTTAGTCCTGGTCCACAAATGCTACTCACTGTGTTCATGGACTTTAAGTAGGCAGGGATGAAATGAGGGACATGCATGGAGCACTGAGCAAAAGATATGATATCTTAAGCTGTATGGGTCCACCCTCCAGAGGCCGATCTGATAGCAAAAAAATATATAATGTCACCACTGACAGGTTCTCCTTGACAAGGGGAAAGTGTAGACAGTGGAAAAAAGTACGTGACTTCGAGTCCGAAGAGTCTGGTTCAAGCGCTAGCTGTATTATTTATTAGCTGCCTGACCTTGGCCAAGCTCTTTAAATTCTGTTAACCTCAACTTCCTCATCTGTAAAGTGGCTTAATTATACCCACGCTGTCCACATGTTCAGGTAAATGTGAGCATCAAATACAGGCTAACATGGGATTGTGTATGTAAAAGCGTTTGTAATGATACTCTGTGAAAATGTTAGAATATTAGAGTTCAATAATAGTGGCTGGACTTATTTCCTTCTTGCAGAATCAACTAGTCTCAGTGGGTTTAGGGAATTTTTCACAGAAAAGAGCTTTGATCTCTGCATATACAAGCAAAACCCTTCACATGCACAGGGTAATAATGCACAGATTCTAGGAAGTTTCTTTCCTCTCTTGTATCCCGGATATATTGACTGCATATGTCACTAATAATGCCTCCCTACTGAGATGGTCCTGAATATTAGATAAAATGTAGCCACAACATCATATAATCCCTGTAGATAGTATTTACCACTGATAGAACTGAGTTGCTAAGGAAGTACTCATTGTAAAAACAAACAAACAAAAACCTGGTAAGTTCCAAAAACAATAGTGCTAAACTTTCTACACTGCATTCCAGTTCAGTACCTAACCAGACCTAGAAATATATAAAATATATATATAATTCTTGCCTAGTTCATTTTAAAAGCCAAGATTGACTTTTCACAGGTATTGGGTTTCTAAATTCTATTCTTATGCTCTTTCTGAAGAAATGGACATTTAGCCAACAGTATTATTTCTTAGTCATTATACTGATACAAATTCTGCTTCTCCTATTCATTTCTCTGAGTTGATCTGTTTCTGAGTCATTATGAATCTGTAGTCAATGAATGAATGCCTCTTTTTTTATACCAGTTGGAACCTTTTGAGTGGGGGATATTAATCCCCTTCTCACAAGCCTCAGAATGACTGTTTCAATAGTAATCCACAAGCATTCTTGTGGTATGAAGATAATGCCTAAGATTATATATTTCAAAATCATGTTATCTACATTCTCTTTTTTTTTTTTTTTTTGAGGTGGAGTCTCACTCTGTTGCTCAGGTTAGAGTATAGTGACACACTCATGGCCACCCCAGCATCAACCTGCTGGGCTCCAGCAATCCGTGCACCTCAGTCTTAAAATAGCCGGAACTACAGGTGTGCACTACCATGCCTGGCTAATTTTTTATTTATTGTAGAGACAAGGTCTCACCAAGTTCCCCGGGTTGGTCTCGACCCACAGGCTCAGGCAATCCACTCACTTCGGCCTCCCAAAGTGCTGGGACTACAGACTGAGCCACAGAGCCCGGCTATGTTATCTACGTTCAAATCCACTTTTTACCACTAGGCAACTGTGGGACCTTACACAAGTTGCTGGAGCATTCCATGATTCAGCGTCCCATTCTGTAGAATAGTCAGAGGACAGTACTTACCTCATAGTTCTGAAATGAAGACTAAATGACCCAATGCATGCAAAGCATTTGGCTGAGTGCCAAGGGCATGGTTTAAGCTACATTTGAGTACCTTGTTCTTGGTAGTAAAGAGCACTGTCTCAAACACCTGCTTTCAAACCTACTATTTGGTGCAAGTTACTTAACTTCCCTGAACCACAATTTTTGCATTTATAAAATGGAAGTAATAATACTTATGCCATAGGGTTGTAGGAATTACATTAGTTAATGCCTATAAAGCAATTGAAATGCCTAAATAGTTATGTGCAAGGAATTTTGCTAATTCTTACTAAGTAAGCATTTATACGATTATGAACAAATCCCCAGTTTGGAATCATGAGTCAAAATCCCTGGTTTTCCACAGGTAATCTCAATGTGAGACAAAAGTCCATTCCTTCATTCAACATGCTGTTATTGACACCTAGCATGTAGCAGTTATTATTATCATCTCCTCAACAAGGTCTTTTCTGCCATACTAATTGCATTTTTTGAAGGAGAAGATAGGCAGTACACATGGGGAAAAACATAATTCAGATAGTCATAAATTCCATGAAGAAAACACAATAAGGTGACGTGTTAGTGAATGGGAGGAGCTGCATTCCATACATGGTGGCCTCAGTACATCTCTGATGTACAGCTCTGATGATATTTGAACAAGTGAATAAATGAAGAGAAGGAATCAGCCAAGCAAAGAACCAAGGGAAAAGCAACCAAAGTCCCAAGATAGAAGAGAGTTTGCCTCCTGGGCCGGGGTGGGGAGCTCAAAAAGCAGCCAGAGTGACTGGGACACGCAGAGAGTAGGGAACAGAGTCGGGAAGTCGGTGGGGCCAGATTACACAGGCATTCATGGGGCCACGGCAAGGATTGTGGGACTAGCAAAATTAAGACATTGTTTTGTTTGTTTTGTTTTGTTTTGATTTGTTTGAGTTGGAATCTCACTCTGTCGCCCAGACTGGAGGGCAGTGGCACGCTCCTGGCCACCTCAGCCTCGACCTGCTGGGCTCCGGCGATCCTTCCACCTCAGCCTTCCGAGTAGCCGGAACTACAGGCACGTGCTACCACACCCGGCTAATTTTTGATTTATTGTAGAGATGAGATCTCGCCAAGTTGCCCGGGCCGGTCTTGAACCCGCGGGCTCAGGCAATCCACTCACCTTGGCCTCCCAAAGTGCTGGGATTACAGGCTGAGCCACCGAGCCCGGCTAAGAAATTGTTTAATTTAGATGATCTAATTCTGAAAAATACCAAGAATTGTTTGCTCTGTAACTGGACCCAGATTTCTGTTCTTATTGCTAATTCCCTGAATAAAAGAATACAAATGATACTGAATATGACGGAATATGGAATTCAGTACACCACAGAGGCTTCTCTGAATGAATAAATTAATGGATGACAGACAAACCAAAACAACAGAAAGAGAAACAAACCCAAGAATTAGACTTCATTTTTGATTTTTCCATCCCTCACAACAACGCTGTAGGGACCATAGTAACAATCCCATCAATGCTATCATACAAGTTGGGAACTTGTAGTTCAGAGGCTAGTAAAGGTCCTAGCACACTGCCTGGAGCACAGTCCCCTCTCAAAAAAATTCCACGTAATACATCCTGGTCTACTAAACTTGAAAAGTAATGAAAAGTAAACTAAAAAAATATTGCTTCCATGTAGACAAAATATATTTTCACTTCCATTTTTAACTAAAACAATAATAAAGCCTTATTCTATTCCAGTGTTCCAGAACTGCAAATGTTTTACCTGTCAAATGAGGAAAGCCCTAAATAAAAATGTCTTATATTTCCAGAGCATGCGTTATAATCTATTACCATATACTGTACTGTTTATTTCCAAGCACCTATATCTATTTCTATATCTTCAGTGTGTAGGTTTGTGTTAACACGACTGTTTTTTTAAATTTTTTCACAATGAAAAGACATTAGGATAATGAAAAAGTAAATGACTAACTATTGTATCTGAGAATTGTTTTACATTTAGAATCATTTCACGGAGGCTCTGAACTAAAAATTATCTACTGAGACTTTGCCGAGTAGGTTTTCACTGCAGTCTTTGTGGCAGAACAAGATTACGATAGAGCTTATATTTTGCCCCAGAGGGCAAAAAAATCTTTAAGTTAGACTAAACTATCCAGGTTATTTTCTCCAAGGCCATCACATAAAACAGTGTTACTTCTTCAAATGAGGGGAGGGGTCACCTACGAGTGTCCTAAAGTTCTTTGGAAAATTATGTGTCTAGACGTGTTTTGCCCAGGTGGAGTATCTCAAAGGAATCGAGACCCACAATAATGGTTAAGAATGGCTGCTTGCTGTTTCAGAATATAGCTATAATGATTTGGCTTCCTATGACTTAGATACTTTCATATGTTGACACCAAGAGACACTTAGATTAGGTATGTATGTTTCACGTATACATTAGGTATCTAGTCCATACTCCTCAAACTCAAGGGTAGCTCAAAACATTTCTCTCCAAACGAGCTTATTACCTTCATCTGTCTTTCCCACATAGTAGGTCTGGTCAGAAATCCCTCACCTATGGTGCTGGTCCTTCCTGTGTTTTATGAGTCTTCTCTTTGGAAGATATATTCTACCTGTTCCACA